TATATATGTATGTATGTATGTATGTATGTATGTATGTATGTATGTACGTATATACATATGTATGTGTGTGTATGTATGTATGTATGTATGTATGTATGTATGTATGTATGCATGTATGCATGCATTTATTCATGTATGTATGTATGTGTGTATGCAAGTATGTATGTAATGTATGTATGTATGTATGTATGTATGTATGTATGCATGTATGCATGCATTTATTCATGTATGCCTGTATGTGTGTATGCAAGTATGTATGTATGTATGTATGTACGTATATACATATGTATGTGTGTGTATGTATGTATGTATGTATGTATGTATGTATGTATGCATGCATTTATTCATGTATGTATGTATGTATGTATGTATGCATGTATGCATGCATTTATTCATGTATGTATGTATGTATGTATGTATGTGTGTATGCAAGTATGTATGCATGTATGTGTGTATGCAAGTATGTATGTATGTATGTATGCATGCATGCATGCATGCATGCATGCATGCATGCATGCATGCATGTACGTATGTGCGTGTATGTACTGTAGGGGTGTGTGTGTGTGTGAGTGAGTATGTGCATAGTTGTCACTTTATGTATTGATATTTGTGCTTATGTACCTTTATTCATTTGCTATGGAGACTCTACATGAACATCCCAAACGCAGATTTTCCAAACCTAGACGAACCCTCCAACAGTCTCCACATCATGGACACGAAAAGACTGAGCCCAAACTTCTGAAAGCCTGCACCACGATCCCCACGGCCCGATGCCCTGAGCCCCCAACGCAGAAACATCGATCCATCCATGAATCCCGAGCAAGCGAACTAAACCTTCGGATGCCTCTCAAGGCGCTCAAACCTCCTAGACCAATGCACCTGCACCTTCGGCCCAGGCTGCCCCGCGTGGTCCTTCCCAGCAATTGTACACATCTTCATCACCGGGTTGAGTCTAAGTTTCTGGTATTCAGCTTCGTTTTCCTGAAATCGTGGCTGGGCCTTCAGCTTCTAAGTTTCTACTTGGGCTATTCTGCACCCCAGAAAAACGATTTTTGGAATGGGATCGAGAGCGGATTCATGGCTTTGGATCTGAAGATCACGGGGGCTTCTTGTTCCTGCTCTTTTCAGCAGTCGCAGTTATAGTTTTCGTCGTGCTCGTCATGGCATTGCTATTGCCAGGTCCAGGATCCCAAACCCTAAACCCTAAACCCTAAACCCTAAACCCTAAACCCTAAACCCCTAAACCCTAAACCCCTAAACCCTAAACCTAAACCTGAAACCGTCAGTGTCTCTCTTGTCCTTGCGCTTCAACTCTACGAGGCGGGACCTCCATGGCAACCTAAACCCGCCCATGACCAATGATGGCCGCTCAAATATTCCGGATCGATAAGTAACTTTGGGGCAATTAATTTATAGATGTAGCTCGGGGGTCAGGTATGCTTCGATCCGCGATGGAAAGGCCTGGGTTAGGACTCAAGGTGCCCCTAGGACATGTTGGGGCGCTGTGGAGTGCATCGGCTTTCCGCTTGAAGGTACCTAAAGGTTGAGAGCACATGTTACAGCTAGGGTGGCAGACAGCACACATGTGGAGTGGGACATTTCTGGACAGTCCCGAGCTGGTCTCGGCGTCCCTCTGTGCCGCCTGCCGCTTCAACTTGCCATCGGGCCTGACGGTCGGTGGACAGAGCTTTGGCTAACAACCAATGAAAGTGGCTTGAGTCTCGAGTCCACGGTGGCTAGGCGGGTTTTAGCTGAGGTGAGCTGCGACAATGCTTGAAGACTGTCAAGCGCAAGAGGATCAGCAGCCTCTTCAGCGAAAGGCCCTGCTTAGGGGCGTTGCATCCTACAGCTCTGGCTCGCTCAAGGCAGGCTGCAGGAATGCAAGTTCACGATTACACTTGGCATGTCATAAGAGTGATAAACGGCTTTATGGTCTTGGAGGAGATAAGGTTTGGGAGCTTGTAGGGCTTAACTTAGCAAGTAAACCCTAAAGCCTGAAATTCTGGCAATGCGACCCACGCAAGCCTGATTCAAGGTGGCACAGATTCCTCATACCCTGAACTCGAGCACCCCCAGTCCTCTCCACCGTAAGAGGGTCTCCCCAGAACGTTGAACCACTGCTACCCAGGTTTGCAGGCCCCAGCCGTAACCGACAATCAGAGTGCTGATTCCACAAGCAGACACAATCCTTGAACCCTCCGCCTCAGCGCTGGAATCCTGAACGACTTAAACTAGGCCAGCGTTGTAGGCTAAAGAAACTGAAGCTTCATGGGCTTATGAGGTTTGTAGGGTTCAATTCAAGACAGCATTGAAAATGAGCAGCCTCCTCAAGTTAATCACAGGGAAGCCCCAGCCTGAACAGAAAAAAACAAGCCAAAGCACCGGCGGACTCCTTAAGGTCCAAACCCTGAAGCCCACAACACAAAGCATTCAACCTAACCATCCGAACGCTGAGCCCTGCAGCAACAAAAGGAGCCTCATGGCCGTCGTGTAGTAATGTTGCCAGGCTTGTACCTGCACGCCTGGAAGGAGACATGCTCGAGATTTGGCCAGCTTCAGAAGCTTAGGGTGCAGGCGCTTCGGATCCTTATGACAGCAGATATGTTTAGACAAGGGACTGGGAACAACTGGTTGGATGAGAGAGGAAGAGATTCGAGTCGAGTAGACTAGATAAGATAGACAGTTGATGTCTAGATAGATAGACAGGGGTTGGGTTAGATTAGATAGAACTATTGATAGAGAGAGCGAGAGACTAAGAGAGAGAGAGAGAGAGAGCCAGCATGATAGACGGATAGAGACAGATAGGCAAACAGATTGACAGACAGATATAGATAGATAGATAGATCGTTAGATAGATAGATTACTGATGCATAGAGAACATACATAGACACACAAGCAGACAGAAAGATCGGTTGAACGAGGTGCAGGAGCCGCTGACTTCGAGCCACTAGGGTTTAGAATTAGTGAGTTCGTGTCGCTCAGGGCTTCTACTAGCACAATTATCTACCCAAATTTAATTGATTCCTCGAGTGAGAATGGCCGCTTGAGGTTCCCACGTGGTCTTGTTGCAAGCACGCTTGCAAGTCTGAGCCTATTTGGGCCAGGTTTCCTTCCTTCAGTTCACCTATACACGCTTCAGTATAGGATGCTCAGGCTGCCAACAAGCCAGCATCGTGCAGGACGCATTTATACAAATGCCAGCATCTAGAGCGGCCATGGGCCGTGGAAGGGCATGGTCGTACAAGGCCCTCCATCCGTTGCTACAATAGAGGAGCGTGCTTTCCAGTCTACACTGTTCGCACCTACCGCTGGATTCTTGCCATCGACTCAGACCCGGTCTTTGTTGCCTGACTGAGCCGTCAGGAACTGCTGAATCAATTGGCCGCGCCTAGTGTCATGCGGGCGGCAGGGATGCCGATGACCAGCAGAAAGAGCACCACCAGAACTGGCCGATGTTGCTAGAGCTTGGGCTGCAGGCTTCAGCAGCCAAAACGAACAACAAAAAGGATTTCTGAAGAAGTCAGCAAGCTTTAAGTGTTACAGTACAGGCGTCACCGTCGTCGTAGAAGCAGTGCTGCCGCAGCGACGACGGGACAGCAGCAGCGGAATAGCAGGACCACTACCATTCACCATGCAAGTGGCTCTACTTTGCAACAATCTTCAGACATCGTCGATGCGATTGCCGCCACGACTTGGCAACAAACGAAGCACTGTTGCCGTGTCTGACATACACCCAGAATCCCGATCATGTCCATCGTCATCTTCGTTGTCGTCATCCTTTTGCCACTACAACATAACCTGCACCAGCACCAGCAACATGATCATGGCCATCAACAGCATCATCTTCCGTAGCATCATCACCCTTTTCAACAATGCCGTCGTCACCAGAACCACCACCACCACCACCACCAGCAACCAAAAAAAACCCAGCAACCCCAGCGCCCCTAGCACTCTCAGCGCCCCAGCACCCCCGCCCCAACACAGAACCAGCAGCAGCACCAGCAACAGCAGCAGCACCAGCAGCAGCAGCGCCAGCAGCACCGACAACCGCCACCATCATCATCATCATCATCATCATCATCTTCTTCTTCTTCTTCTCATCATCAGACCTATCGCCACCACAGCACTCGTCACCGAGGCCCTGGATCGCAAACGCTCGGTCAAGACCCGGGAGAACACCGATAAGCTGGTAGAAGCAAGGCTGACTCAGGCTTCGGCTTCGGGGCTTAGGCTTAGAAGCAGCTCATAGTCTCGAGTTATTTGGCATGCTCAGTCTCGTCTCAGGAACTGAAAATCTGCAACTCAACGTGGTATCAATCGAGTGTTGTACAGCTTTTAGGCTCCATGTTGTGAATTCGCCTGCCCGGATGCAAGTCTTTCTAAGCTTTCGGAAGCTTTCCGTAGCTTTCGACGGTTGAGGCTCAAAATTCAATGTCCTGCGCTAGAGCTCCAAGGAGGGACCCTGCCGCGCCTATGGAGAATGCCATTAGGCAGTTCCTCAGGATCGGGTAGGTATCACCACCGGTCTCCTGGAACAGCAGCGCGGCAAAACCCCAAATCTTGCGGTTCCGCAGTTCAAGACATACAGATAAACTTAGTGACTTATTGAGCTGCCTTGGCCGATCTTAGAATCTCACCAGCATGTGCCGGAGAACGAAAGGCCTGTGCTTCGAGGGCCCTAGCACGTAGGATCCTCGTCCATTCGGATGAAGATCATCAGCAGCACGCCTGAGGCGCCGGATGCTCAACCGCAAACCGGAGCAAACAGGGTTGAAGGTTGAACGTTCCATACACCCGAAAAAAGTCAGAAGTCATGTCACTTAAAGGCCGGAACCTCTAATTCGCGTGCTCTCAACTCTAAGCCCGTCAAACACAGGCGGCCTAGCTACCCGTCATCTGCATGTGTCTGTTCTCCGAACCGTTCTCTTACTTTTGCTTCGGATCCTTCGGACCTTGGCCAGACAAATGTGCACGTTTCATTGGTTCATGCACAAAGTTCTGGCGTGCTTTGTGGCCCCTAGCCCATGGCCATAGAGAGTACACGAGTCAAACACAGTCATCAAGGGTTCTCCGTCCTACGAATCCAGATGTCTGCGATAAGGATTACACACCGGGCAATCACGCAGCTGTTGCGACGGAAGGTATGTGGCTTGGTTCACAGCCTAAACGCTTGCCGAAACTAGGATCGGAAACTTCGAATCACAAGGAAGGAGTCGCTCAGTTCACTTCCAGCTTAAATGAGGACCTGCAACGGTGCCAGTCGGCCGGGCGATCCTTGACGGATCGTGTGGTGCGACCTCCTCTGAATTTGGTGATTCCGAGAGAAACAACTTGTCCAAGAGGCCCAGAGCTTGTGAAAATACGCGTATGCGCGCCTGTGAAGCTGGTGTGCGCCTGTATGCTGCCAGGGTCATGGTCCTGATTTCGCAACTTGCGACGACCGAACCGCAGGCCGCACAATGACGTCCCATCTTCACTGACGTGTCCTGCCGACATACCTTGTGGATCAGCCACGACAGCTTACATCGGGCTTTAAACTCCAAGCCACCTCAAGTGAACTCTCGAGCGCATGGGCTGAGCCTGGCGGATCCTTATGCGTCTTTTCTAGCACGCTTACACATTTTGGGGGGGCCGCCCTTAACCTTACCGCCGGAACGGGCTGGCGGATAAGTCGTAGTTTTGTTTTGGACACTGATACATGTGCTGTGCTAGGATGAGAGTCATTAATTAGGAATTCGGCCCTTCCTACAAACTTATACGTTGTGCTGCAACTATTCGCGCTCACATTACGACCTTCGGTTCGGGTGCAAGGGTCAGGCGGACCAAGCGTTCGGGAACTTCCGTAGTCTTTGGTGTTCTCTCTGACTTCAGACTAAACCTTATAGGGCGCAAGCCTTGCGTTAAGCTAAGCCGTCCGCCGACGAGTATGATGTGGACCAGGAAGCAAAAGTTCAGCACATAGGACAAGAACTGCATCGAGCAGTCTTCGGATCTACAGAAGAAGCATAAGACTCCAAAGCAAAGCCTGGTAGAGGGGTGAAAACTGGAGGCGCAAGCTTCAAAGTAACCGATCTTGAAAGGAAACACCCATTAGCTATGCAGCTTGTGTCATCGCAGCCAAGATGTCCGTTTATAGAACTGTACCCTCTGCGGTCTCCGGGTTCGGGGTTTAGGGGCCGCAGGCTCTGGATCCCTTCAAAGCCTGCAATAGGATTTTGGGTTTAGGCCTTGGGGGTTCCACCACAAACTGACAGTCCCCACGTCCCCACAGTTTCCAAGCCATGGAAGAAAGGCTTTGGGGTATTTGGTGCTTAGCGTGGGAATGTCTCTGAGGGCATTGCAGCTGTTCAGCATCGAACCCTCTAAACATCTGTGAACTTTGAACGTAGATCCTCGTCACACAGAAATCGCGGACATGGCAGGAGCTTTGGTTAAACGCTTGCCACATGACGGGTTTAAGGTACCGGGGCTGGGAACTGCTTCGGGATCCTCACTAAGTCTACAATAATGAGACTGGCCCTGAACTGGCTGCTGCTCTCCGCAGCCTTGAAGCGACAGTCCCAGGGAACACACCAGTACAAGTTCTTCGACCTTGCATTCAAAGAACTCCCAACATGCCTGTGCCCGTTGCGCCGTCTTACGCTGGAAGCGAGTCATCTCCTCCAGTGTCCTGTGACATGGCACAAGGCCCATGAGTCGAACTGGTGTTCATTTTGCTTGTTTGATGACAAAACCGAACAAGCGTTTCAGGGTGTATGGGTTTCGGGTTGAGGGACCAGGCATCCACGGGGTTCACACCCAGGACACCGAGGTGCTGGCTGCCGGTGGGGTGGAGTCTCAAGAAAGAATGGTATCGCGACTGAAACCGGGATCCACTCTACAAGGACCCTGCAACTCCTAATATATATATATATATATATATATGGTACCCCCCTATATATATATATATATCGAAACCGAAGTTCCGGCTGCCCGTAGACCTCACAGAGCGCGTCTTACTAGTAGCAGCACTACCACTACTACTACTACTACTACTACTACTACTACTGCTGCTACAGCATTGTTGAGACAACGCCCCATGCAAACTCAGGAGCGATCCCTCAAGACAAAACCCACATACTCCGAATCCCGAAACCCTAATGTCCGGCAAAGAGAACCTGAAACCCAAAAGCTTCGTGTAAAGTTTTTGCAGCAGCCCATGCCTGAAGAACATGACGAACTCGTGAATGTCGATGGTCCCGTTCATGTTCTGGGGCAGGGCGGACCAGACAGGAAACCTCTAAATCTCGGCGATATGTCAGACCTTGGGGCGCTGCGTCCCTTACGTGACCAGCAAAAGAAAATAGCGAAATGGACACCGTGATGCGTTTGAAGCAAATCTCAAAGCTGCCTGAGGCAGAAAAAACCCTTGCAGTTCAGCACCACCCCGATCCGCGGGCGAAATGATGTGGCGCATGACACTGCCATAATGTACGTAGCCACAAACACTGCTGACCACCTGCTCAGAAGATCACTGAATTTGGAAATGGCGTGGCCTTGTCAATCTCCTGCATGACAGTTGTGGCCGCTGCCTGGCAACATCGGAATATCCTCACTTCGGTTGCTGCCTTCACGGCTTAGGACCTGAACTTTCGGGCGGAAACACATGGCACTGATCAGGGTTGGCGGATTCTCTGAGGTGTCGGTGGCACGGCCCGAAATGTGCTTGTTCGCAACTAGTCCCAACTATTATTAAGCTTTAGAGCGGGTGCCAGCAACTACTCATTCTACGCAATACAGCACCTTGGGCGGTTTGGATCCACTCAACCTGCCAAAAAAACATACTCCTTACTCTCATCCCAGACTGTAAACCCTTAAACCCGAGACAGCCAGAGGTCTAAACCCTAGTCCCGGGACTCTTTTCAGTTCAGTAAACACTCTCACGTGCGCTCGGTGAAGATGGTTTTGGAGCAGACGGTTTAGGAGTTTCGGGCTACAGGATGTAGGGATTTGGGGATTTATTGAGATGTCTGGGCATTGGAGACCATCGCCTAGCGTTCAGGGGTGAGTGCACACATGCACATAAGTCTGTGTGCGACAAACTATGTCTTTGTGCGTGAGTATGAGTGTATGCAGGTGTGATTTGTTTATGGATGAAAGATTTTCTTTTCAACCGTGCCTACTGTGTCGCAATACCGCGCAGTTTAGTGCCTCATGCAGAGGCGAACTGAAAGAGAA